CGTCACCACCACCACCACCACCACTACTACTACTACTACTACTACCACTATTACTACTACTAAAATGACCAATAGGACACTCCTGCTATTCTGCCTATCATCACCCATCCAGCCGATGTCTGTCCCCATAACGTATCGACCTGATGAGTCCATTACAATGAGGCCGAACAACCAGTGCCTACGACCCCGACGTAAACTCGTCGCGCACGCTTCTACTGCATGCCTAGAGCTCCGAGGCCAGTAGACCTCATTCCCAAGCGGGCGACTTCGAATTCTAGTAATCGTTATCAGTAGGAGTGGTTGTGCCGACGTGTACAGGAAGTGGATTATACTGAGGCGGAATCTCGTGGCATTTACCTCTCTCTCTCCCTCCTTCTCTTTTTATTTCTTTTACTAAACCTCTCATGTCCGAATGGGAAGAAAAGATCAAAATGACGGAATACAAGCTAGGACGCAAAAGCAAACCTGGTATACTGACTTCGTACTCGATGCCCTGGCACAGCTGATCATTCTCCCATAGACTGCATAAACAGATCCATCAAAGTTGGAAAGATTATTCCACTAACCCCATCTGCTTTAATTCATCAGTCGCAGTTGTGCGTGGTCGTAAAATTCAGCACAGCTTCATGGAGCCACTGATTTGAACGGAGGGGCCTCTTGCAGATAAGCATCCTACAAGTGAGCTTTATTCAGTTGACAGGAAGTCAGAGAGTTCCGCCAAGTTCCAAGTTGCAACAGTCGGACTAGATCGGTACAGTTGCGGATGGGCTTCGACGCGGTAGTTTCCAGGCATTCGATTCGCTCTGCCTACCTGGTCACGCAAGGACGAACCATTGAGACCTGGCACTAACCCTGAGGACGGATGCCTCATTGGGAAGGGGAGGCCTTCACGCCACTGTCATGTGCGTAGCATGGTAGTGCAGTTTTACGATATTTGGATCCTGATTACTGGGTCATAAGAAGTCAGGAGGCAGCCAAATGGCTCCAAAAACGCGGTGGTGATTTGTATGGGAAACAGGATTGTTTTACATATAGCAGGTGGACTAACTGACGAAAAGTCAACAGAAATTTCGAAATGCGTTTCCGCTTCAAAAAGAGCAATTAAGTAGGGTTGTAAAAATAATCATCATGCAGAATAATTATATAATAAATCAGTTACCACAGGATGCCAGCTCTCGAATGAACTTCCTTCAGGCTGCATGCAAAAACTACACTCTGTAAAAAATGACTACTTATTTAGCCCGAATTTTTCTCATTAGTTTCCGATGCCCCTAAAAGTCCAATTATTTTTCATGGAAAACATGCGCAAAAATATTCATTCTGTTGCTCATTTGGTGGACTATTACGTCTTCTTCCAAGCCCATACTCGAAGGAAGGGCATAATTCGGTTTTAAAAAAAGTTTCTAATCGTGAGATTTTTTTAATACCGTGAAATGGTCCTTCATAAAACGTCATGTCTCTGCATTTACCAAAGTGGCTTGTAAAGTTAATAATCAGGCTCAAATCCACTGCTAACTTTTATGAAACCCATATGCGCATCCCATTACACCGCAGACAAATGTATGGTTTTCAGTACGCGGAAAATATACGGCTTCTAGTTTAGAAACCCTGAATCTAAGTGTGACGGTAGAGCGGGTTCAACATTATTCGGGAATTGGAAAAGTTTTCTTAAACCAAATAATACCATTCCTTTGAGTGTAAAATTGAAAGAAGACGTAAAAGTCTACCAAATAAGCAACAGAATAAATATTTTTGAGCATGTCTTCCATGAAATATAATTGAATTTTTAAGGACATCGAAAATCAATGAAAAGATGCATGCTACATAAGCAGTCATTTTTTTACGGAGTCTGATTTGTCGATGCAGCTAAAGCGAAGTTTGTTCGAAAGCCGGCGTTCTGTGTTAACTGAATTATTATGGAATTATGCTGCAAGATGATTGGCTTTACAACCCTACGTAATTAATCTTTTCGAAACGGAAACGCGTTTCGGAATTCCTGTTGAGATCTCATGAGTTAGCCCACCTACTGTATACTGCGGTTGTTATTACCACACCCACCGACGGCAGGACAGACTTCCGGCTACTGGAGTTGTGTGTGTGTGTG